GGGTGCCTTCAAGCCAGTGTTTGACTCCTGGCAACTGCCTGGACATGTCCCTGCAGTTTTCTTGGCAAGATTTCAGAAATGGTTTGCCACTGCCTCCTTCTTAGGGCTGAGAGGGAATGACCGGCCCAAGGATACCCAGATGGCTTCGTGCTGAAGATGGAACTAGAACTCACAGTCTCCCAGCTTCTAGCCCAGTGCTTTAACCACTACACCAAACTGGCCCTCTACACAAATTAGATTTCATTAAAAAAAGGAAAAAAGCCAAAAATGAACAAAGATTTAATCACTGCTGTCTGTAAAATAGATAGCTTTTCTTCTTTAAAAACTACTTAGAATCCTTCTAAGAAATGTTCTTCAATTTAAGCTAGGTTCCCAGACCTAGTTTTTCTCTGTTCTTTTTTTTTTAGAAAACCTTGCAGGATTATACTCATAGGCAGAGTTTATAGTTCTGTAGGTTTCATCACATGTTAAACTAAAATGTTTGATTAACAAATACATATGGCCATTTTAACCCCCATCACCACAGTTCTTTAACTTTGGGGAGCTTTGGGGCTTATCATGTCAATCAAACCCAAAGTGATCCATTTGTGGTTTCTGGATATTGAGGCTTGTACCCAGGTTTGTCACTGGGTTACATGGTTAATATAAAGCTACAGTGGTGGCTATTTCAGATTTGGACAACAAGGTAAATTACAACACTTGATTTAAGGGCTGTTTGTGATGGTGACGGAAGCAGTAAAATGTGTTGGAGCGTGAAGTGTTGTGTGCATGTGAGGGTGAGAATTCCTGAGTGTGATAATCTAATATGAGCAAAGAGTAGCGGAGCCAGTTTTGTAACGATAAGAGATAAGAGATTTATTTACAGTCGGGATATTATAGGCATAGGCAACACTTAGCATCTAGTTAGTTACAATCTAGAAGAAAAATCCAAGAGCATGTGCTCCATTGTATGGGAAGTAAGGCAGAAGGAAATGATCTCAGATTAGTTATGAGAGAGTGGGTAGAGTGATAAACGAAGAAGAGGATAGAGTGTAAATCCTTAACTCTGCATTTATATCCTACTCTTTAAAAAAGACCCTTTTAGTCTGTAGATCATGAGTTGCTGATGAGTCAGGCCCATTGGATTTGGTGACGAAATGGGGGCATAATTTTAGATTTTGAGGTATTAGCTTGTCCTGCGAATATAGCCATACACTACTCAGTTTCAAATGCAACAGAAAACATGGTCTATTTTTTTAGTCTGAGATTTAAAAAAAAAAAATAGGGAGGGTGGTTTATGCTCAGTGTAAAAAAAATTTTGTTTGCAGCAACCATGATGATATGTAATGTAGCATTAATAATATCTGAATATATGGCTGTGATTCGGATGTTAGTAAAGCTTTTAAAAATATAAATATCTAGATAGTACATTTTAATCAAACTGACCAAACAAATTAACATAGTTTGTAGGAAACAGTATCCCCAGGCACCTCCAAGGACCTGATTAAATGGGTTCTTTTGGGGAAACACAACTAAACTCACTGCCTCTCTTAGTGTGATATCATTTTGGCCAAACTGTACTAAGATATAAAAAATTATGGTCTATCTTGTGAAATTTTCATCATGAGACAGCTGACACCTAAAGAAATGTAAGTAATGTGTGAATATACAATGTTACTGGAGGCTATTATGGTAGACCATGAAGCAAATTTTTCTGTTCAAGCCAGTCCTTTCAGTATCCAGCAACATTACGGATTTTAACTCTCATATTCATTTTTAAAAAGTGTTAATTAAATAGCCTAAGGGAATGCAGCCTTCAACAAACCAAAAGTTCTTCTCTTTTGAATGCAACAGTCTTTTCCATTTTTTGGAAAATGACTATACTAGTGACCTTTTCTCTTTGCATGTCGGTATGTGTCTACATGCCTGCCAAATTGCTTGTTGATTCAGAATATTGGTTCAAACATGCTTTTTTCCCTCCATGGTATTGTCCAATGAAAAATATATGTAACTATATGATAATATGATGGTTATCATTCTTAGGTTATTTTTGTGTACTTCTAAATTGAGTATACCCGGACATGAGATTTAGCAATCCTACAGTTAATATAATCACCTCAATAAAAGAATATCTGTGTCACCACCTACATGTTTTTGTGAATATTCAGTGAATGTCTATAGGTAATTATTATGTCAGCAACTCCTATGTCAAATTTTCTTGTAACTTTTCTCTTAACTGTTTCCTGGCCCATTGAATAGGGAATAATACTGCATACATCTGAAGAAGATAATGTGGACTATAGTGCACTGATGGTTACAACGTTAATAAAAATTCATCTTTATTAACATAAACAGAATCCTATTTTCCTGCAATAGACAAGGATAGTAAACTCCGTGGACAGTTTACTAGAATTATGCAATTGTATTTTCTTCTTGATGACTACCATGCATTTTTGCAGGCACAACAGTTTTAATTACAGAGAATAAGAGATTGCCTCTCAAACACAGAATGTGCATTTTTGCCACAGTATAATACATTGTGGCAAAAATGCATCTAACAGTATTCCACAGTTGGAAATCTGAATTCCACGTAAATGACTGGTAAATGTAGGTGGAGGTGATTTTTTTCTTGAGGAATTAGGAACATTCTGCTGGTTAGTATATGATATGTGCTTTTTCCCCCTTTTTTATGGCTGTAGGAGCTGCGAAGGACGGAATATTAGATACAGAACATGCAGCAACGTGGTAAGTGAAGACTAATGATTCACTAAGCATTTTCAAGTGCTACTGCAGTAGATCTTCTTTATTCCCATCATTGTTCTTCTCATTCTCCATGTGTCTAGGGTTAACTGAATCATCAGGAAGCCCCTTCTAAGATATGAAGATTGTCTGCATGACTTCCTACTCCCCTTTCTTACTTTTTGCCATTCCTTATTATAGGTTTCATGTTGTAAGAAAAACTGAAAAGGGTTATCCAAATTCCATAGAACTGCAATGTTTGCCACTATGCTGAAAGGATGCACTGGAAAGTGACTAAACAGTCTTATGTTTATATTAGTGAAATATGGAATCTCAAATAAATAATGGCTATATGCAAGCATATTGTGGTCAGAATGTTATTGGCTGTGACAGGATGCATCAGTTCTCCACGTTGGCAAGGTGCTCATTGTTACAAGGAAAGTGTATTTATCTCCCTTTGCACGAAAGCCATGAAAGAAGGAAGAGTATTTTGCTCATGCTTTTTCTTTTATAACTTTCTGGAATTGTCCAGTAAGCCCTAAATTCAACATTTTGGGTTGTTTTTTTCCTGTACTGAACTTTGTTCATGAATATACTTCCCTGCGTTCTCTTTCCTTCAATTTGGCTGAAATCCTGTGCATAGTTATGTTGCTTAAATCCCATTGACTTGATTGGCACTTAAATCACCTTAGTTTTCACAGGATTGCACTAGAGTTCTCCTGGGTCATTGGAATCTTCCTTCAGTCCAGTCATGTGCTTCCTTTACCAGGAACAACTGGAGAACTGTTGGGTAAATAAGGCTGCCTGTGGCTTTGTGGGTTGTGCTCCAGCTGCGAGGCACTTTTGCTTCACCAGGGCATCGAAGAGAGCGACGAGGTTAATTCACGTCAGTCAAGAGACATGCCGTGGTTCTGCAGAAGAGAAATGAAAGAGATACTGTCGCAGCTGATGGGATTTAAATTGCTGCTTGGGGTCGGTTTGTTGTTGCTGGATCACCCTGCTGGGAAGCTGGGATTACACCTAAATTGAAGCCCTTGTTTATAGGAATGGCTGAACTTTTCCAACTCTTTCTCTCCTTTTCTTTCTTTTTAAATGTTGTTCTTAGGGTAGGCCCTATCTTATGGCTGTGATACTGAAAACATTTATTTTCAGAATAAAGGTTCATAGATAACTGCCCCAAAGAGTCAGAAGCATGCAAGAATCCTAGAGGACTGCTGAAATTCACCTTCACTACCAGAACTGCATAGAGATGAGCTGGCCTCTAGCCTTTGTCCAAGATTTAAGCTTTCTGGGACCCACTAAACTTTCACAATTAATCAGAAGTCCAAGGAAACAATAATTTTATAATTTGTCCTAAACATATACCAGTGAAATTAAAAATGGCCATATCCACATAGGATTAAAAATAACAGGACAACTGAAAGTCAAAATTACTTAATTCAAAATGCAAGTTTGATGCATACCTGATATGCATCAGAATTTCCACATCAGCTGCCATTTTGTTAACTATTTCTTCAATAGTTCAAATTAATATCTGAGCTATGGAAGAATCTATTATGTATGATTACCCTAGGACCAACCAACAAATTGTTGTTGCTTAGTGGCTTTGTTACTTGAAGTGTCAGCGTTACATTAAGCCTGTTGTTCATAAGTTGGACTGACTACCTATTTGTTTCAAAGTTACTTCACAGTATAGATGTTGATTTATTAGGTCCTAAATGTGTTGTGGGGGCACAGTTCTTCCTTTGAGATCTCTGGAGGATTCACTTGTGAACTTGCTTGTCAATGACCCTTTTTGTGGCACCCTCATTATGAAGTGTTCAGCATCTCCACAAATTTTGCTTTGTCCATTGCTTAAGAAATACCCCTTTACACCAGCTTCCAGATCTTTTTCGGATGGTTTGAGGAATGCCTTGAGTCTCCTGTTGAGTATTTCTTCGCTGCATCTTAGGGGCAGCTGAACTTGAGTATTATATAGATCCTAAGTATTGCTTTGTAATGCTTGTGCTATATCTTCTGCTTTCATCTGTAAACTATTATAAAAAAACAGTCTATAAAATGCTGTGGCCATGGGCTAAGTGAGAAATACTAAGCAGAATTTTAAAAATAAGCTTTATATCATCCTTTTCATTTTTAAAAAATATATTAATGATACATAATTGAATGGTATTTTTAAAATCATTATTTTGCAAACTATAAAATATATTAAATAACCTATTTGTTAATCATTAGGCTGTACCTAATAATTACTCATTTATAAATATAAATAAAAACTTGTTTACTTACAGCTTGATTTTAGCAGATCACTATGATTCCTAAAGCATAGCCTAAGTTGCTGTCCTAGATCATTCTTCTAAGCAACAACAGTGGACTAGAGAGAAACAAATTTGCAGCAAATTGACCCATAGTTGATATAACAAAATATACACACAGACACGTGCATTTATACACACAGTCCATTGTGTGCTGAAACAGAAACTTTAGTACAGCAGTGATACTGCTGAACATTAACCAGTCTCTTTTTGCTAAATAAAAGTTTTCTGAGTCTACACCTGTTTATATACACAAATATCTCTTCATGTGAAATTATTAATTGTACATATTAGAAGTAGTCTTTTTAACTGGAGCAGAAGTTGAGATAAAAGTATTAGAAATGTTATTTGGGTGGAACTGGCTGTGGCCATGAGATCTCGTTGGTTACCCTAAGCAATCCCTTATTTTGTCACCTTTTGAAATAGACTGCATGGACAAAGGGGACACAGAAGGGCAGGTAAAAAGAAGAGATCAAGGTCTGACTTTGAGCCAATTTACACAATAATGCCTATATGGAGACACCAACAAACTGTGCCTGACATAAGTTCTGCTACTTTCTATAGACACAAAGGCAGTCTGGTCTAGAGTTCTTTATCTGCTGCTGCCCCCACAAGCTTAGTCCCCACAGGATTATCTTTTTTAATTATAGAGAAGGCAAGACAGGAAATTTGCTGTGGCTGCCTTTTGCTATGAGTTTTGTCAACTTCAGTGATTGTTGAGTGGACATCAGTTGTTGAAAGAAGGGCTGTAGCCTAGTAGAAGAAGTTATATACTCTTCAGTCCATCCCCTATTTTCCCTTTGTTTTTCAGAAAAGTGCTTTGCACATTTTAGGGAGCAAGATAGACACTTGCTTCATTCTGCGTAGGAGGTGCCATAATTAAACATTGCCATGCCAGTGCCTCCTGGGTAGTGCCTCTTAAAATCCTGGCAACCAATGCAGCAATTACAGCAACTAAGGCTTGTTTACTCTGCTAGAGCTGCATCTTAGGGGTTTATTTGTGTATGCCAAAAGATAATTCAATGCACCATTTTTTGTCTCCCAAAGAATGTGTAGTAAGAGCCTATCATGGTTGGCATGTTCTTTGAGGCCACTGCTGGACATTCAAGCCAGCAATAAATATTTGATTCAGGTATTCACAGCAACAGTTACAACTTATGGATCTGTGTGTGCTTACCTGTTCTTTGGTATCTGTTGGCACTATGTCATTAGTCAGTGTCATCTCTAGTGACAGGTATTGCCTTCTTTGAGTTGCATGATAGAGAGATTGGTTCTATTGTCCTGATCTGAGGGACCAGGGATTACATACTCTCATATCTTCTATCTCTCCTCTTAGCAGAATAATCAGGTTATGCCTAAGGTAACCCTAGTGGAAGCATCCACCATTCCAAAATAATTTGGATTCATTACAACCTGGAGACTGGATAGATAGCACTTCAGATAGACCTAAGGGCATTTTGCCATCTACAGAATAGTTCCCAACAGATCTTATTCACTGCTGTAACTCTGAATGTACAGCAGCATCTTCCCATCATGTTTGTTATAGTTAGTCCATCTTTCCTCTGGAAGGTCAAGGCGATGTACAGAACGCTCTTTTTCAAATCTTATCCTCACAGCCTCAACCATATGATGTTGGTTGGGCTGAGTGATTGTAACTGGCCCAAAGTCACTTAGTGATCTTTCATGGCTAAGTGTGGATTTCCTCCATGTTCCTACTGGCTTCTAACTGGAAATTATCCCACACAGTTGATAAAAGAACCAAACTGATATCTGTGACTTTTTCCTAATCCATCCTCTGTAGATATTTAGCATCATATTCCCTTTTTTAGAGAAAACGGTATGGTAGTCAAGCAGCTGGTTAGAGACTTTCTTATGACGGAAATCCAACTTCCAACTTTTTTTTTCCTCCCAGAGATTCAAGGAAGCATTCATTTAGTATTAAAATAATTTTAATGAATGGTTTGTGTCATTTTCACCCTGAGGATTTAATGTGTCCTGGTCTGGAAAATCTATGATCCTAACTATTTTATTTTCCATTTTCTCCCTGTCTGTATGTGTTTGAAATTGATTTACAGATGTGAATCAAAATGAGCCTGATCCTTTCACAAATGGCAGTACATTTGCATGGAAATTAATGAGTAAGAAACGTCATATGACTGCCTCCCAAAATTGTCTTCTCTACATGTATGTTGCAGAGATCACTCCAAATTCTTCCTTCAGAGTCCAGGAAAGAGATCAATCACATGTAGAGAAACACCCAAGCCTTTATAACAAAAGAGATTCCTCCTCCTGGTGATAACGTACCTGCACATACATTGCATATATCAAAACAGCAGGAAGGGGAACTGACGAATTGACATTGAAAATGGGGCACCTAAGGAAAGAGATCCAGGACCAGTATTCACTGAGAGAATTTCCAAACTCTCCTGTTTTTTGGTGTGATAAGTACACATTTGTTTCTCATTTTCTTATTTCTAGCATATGGTACACAAACAACTTTTCTCTTAAGGTTGATCTTATTTCCCCAGCAGTTGCATTTTGCACATAGGGAGGTGCATTTTTTTTTTCTTAAGCATTCAGTGCTTTTACAAGTGCAGAACCATAATAACCAAAGAAGTAATTTGAAGAAATCCAGATAAAACTGACAAAAAGCTTCATCATATTTCTCATTCACTGAATTTCTCTTTTCTGAAT